CGTATCCAAGGGAAACAGAGCCAGTGATGAATTCTTACAGCAAGTACTTGGTTTGAAGGAATCTAATCTTGAAGACATCAATGAAATTACTACTCATTCAGATCTTGATGAACATGAGGTTATGGATCAGTCCCCTCTTGAACCATTTGAACTCAATACACCAAAACCTGGGAGCCCAGGCCTTCTCATTACTAGAGGAAGGGGGTATGCACACAATTTTGTTAAGCTATCATGCCAGACTAGGGGCATGAAAGCAGCGCTAGATGAACCCCCTCCAGGCCCCTCATGAACCTGTTATTTTGGAATATTAGAGGTGTAAGAGGCTCATTACCCAGGCTTCTTTCCCTCATCCAAATTCATAGGGTTCATTTTCTGGCTATTCTAGAGCCATTTGTTAAAGAAGAAAAAATTATCTCTTATGCTAAGAAATTTGGTTTCCAGTCCTATTTAGTGGCCTCAAACAACAAAGCTTGGATTTTTTGGGATGAATCCCACCTTCATTGTGTCAACAGAATCTTGGGTGATCAAATTATCAGCATCCTCTTTCACAACAATCTCCTCAACAAGGATATCCTTATTTCTACAGTTTATGGATTACATACTGAAGGGGAACGCCAATCTCTCTGGAACTCTATGATTAGCCATACATCCTCAGATACTCTGTGGCTTGTTGGAGGTGATTTTAACATTATTTGCAGCCTAGATGAACACAGAGGACCTATCTTGCCTAGCTTTAAAGGTATGGAAGATTTCTCTTCTTGCATTGCTTCTTGTGATCTTAATAACATTTCACCTAAGGGCGGAATTTTTACGTGGCATGGGAAAAGATCCCAAGGCAAAGTCTGGAGGAGACTGGATAGGGCTCTTGTGAACACATATGCCATGAACTTGTATGATGACATCACTCTTAACCACCTTAGCAGGAGTGGCTCGGACCACAAACCAATCCTCCTTAAAGGTGCTATAAACTCCTACAAAGGGCCCAAAATGTTCAGATTTCTCAACTGCTGGGTTTCTAATGACACCTTCATTCCTATGGTTAAATTGAATTGGGAAAAGTCTAGCAATGTGAATGGAATGTCAGGCTTTGCTGAGAAACTCAAGATCCTTAAAACAGCGATTAAGGAGTGGAATGTTTCAACGTTTGGAGATATCTTCGAAAATGTTAAAATGGCTGAAGAAGAGGCACTTGCTAGACAAAACTCCTTTGATAATAATCCAACTGAAGACAACCGAGCTGCTGCAAACCTTGCATCAGCCAAACTTCTAAATGCATGTAAAAGGGAGGCTAGTTACTGGTTTCAAAAGTCTAACATCAAATGGATGAAGGAAGGAGAATCCAATTCAAAGTTCTTTCACTCGGTGGTCAAGGGAAAGAGGGCTAAACTCAAGATCACAGCTATAAAAGATGAGGAGGGAGTTAACCACATAGATAATAACAAAATCGCTACCTTAGCTGTTGAGCACTTCACCAAGCTTTTTGAAGAGAGTCCTTGCAAAGCTCTTCAGGAAACCCTGAGATTTATTCCATGTACAGTTACAGCCGAAGACAACAACTCTATAAAAAAGCTTCCTTCTATGGAAGAAGTGAAACAAGCAGTGTGGTCGCTCAATGAAAATGCCGCTCCTGGTCCTGATGGCTTTAATGGCTTTTTTTCAGGGCCTGTTGGGATATTATCAAAATAGATCTCCTTAAGGCATGTCAAGAGTTCTTCTTAGGAGTTAAGGTTCCGGTTGCTTTTGCAAGCACAATTATCACCTTAATTCCCAAGGTAAACAGCCCCATCAAATGGAAAGATTTCAGGCCAATATCCTTATCAACATTCATGAGTAAGATTAACTCTCGTATTCTGGCAACGAGACTTAGCATAGTTATCAACAAAGTCATTGGGCCTGAGCAAGCTGGATTCCAGCAAGGGAAATCTGTTGATGATCAGATTCTCTTGGCTCAAGAGATGGCTCACCATCTTGAACGCAAGGTTGAAGGTGGCAACATCATAGTTAAGATTGATATGGCTAATGCGTT